GGACTTTTGTTCATAGGGTCACTATGAGTTGAGGGCACTTAACAACAAGAACAACAGTGCAGGAGCTCTGGTGGCCTAGAGGCAAGAAGCTGCACTGCAATCTCTAAGGCACACAGTTCGAGACCACGAGTTGCACAATGGGAGAAGAATGGTCCATCTCCTCCCATGTCACTAACTGCGTCTGAAAACTCACCATAGAGTCAGCTATGGGTCAGTTCTTACTCGACAATACACAACAACAGTGCACCTCCTAACCACCAGGTCACCTGAGCGCCAATTGTTGGGGTTTCTTTACTTCTTTGCAAGATTTAATAGCCAAGGTAAGGAGGTTATAAAACCATAAATGATGTTAAGGTTGCCTGCAAAATGGAATCTGTAATAAGCATATATTCAGAAAACAGAGCTCCAATTGTATGTGTAGAAGTGGTTGGATTGATTTATGTGTATAGTTTGCAATCTAGTAACACTAATTACATTCTTCAAGACGGGTAACCTTTCCAAATAACCCCACCATGAAGATAAGCTCTGCCCCTTCCTCCCTCCCTCCCACCCTGCTAACCATGATGGTCTCTGTCTTCTGTTCCTTTTCTGTCTTGTTGTTGAGTTTACGAAAGTGGGCCTGACTGACTTCCCTCGATATGTTCATGTCAAGATTCATTCGTGGTGGGGCTTCACCAGGGCTTCACTTCATAGCTGAACAGTATCCTGTTGTGGGATGGACAGTATCAGGTTTATCTGTTCTTCTGCTGAGGGGCACTAACAGGGTTCCCACTTTCTGGGAATTTGTGCAGAACACTGCAGTGAATGCTGGTGGACAGCCTTCCTTCTATCTGCATCCCTGCCTTCGCTTCGACCTGGTGTTTACCTGGACTGAGACTGCTGGTGGATGTTGTATTTTGCTTTTTTTTTTTTTGGTGATAAAAGTTTGTATTTAGTTCAAATCCACCAGATGCTCTGCCGGGGAAGGAGGGGCAATCTCCTCCTGTACCAGTCAGATCTGATTTGACGGTACACTCACACAAAAATA